AGGTCGCGGATGCGCGCGCGGAGCCCGGCGACGGCCGCGTCCGCCTCCGCGTCGACGGCCGCGCGCCGCGCGCGCTCGAGGTCGCTGCTCCGCCGCCGGTCCTCGCCGGCGGCCTTCGCGCCGGGCGTCGCGCGCCGCGGCGACGGCGTGCGCGGGAAGCGGCGCGCGTTCGAGTCGCGGAGCACCATGGTCTCCGGCGACACGAGGGGCGAGCCCTGCGGCTCCGACGCGTCGTCGTCGGACGAGTCGTCGTCGCCGAGGCTGAAGCGGACCATGTCGTTGCTGGTCGGTGCGGTGGCGATGTCGCTGCAGCTGCAGCGGCGACTACGGCGCAAAGCGCATGTTGGCCGCCATCACGCGCGATACGACGGTGCTTGGCCGGGGTCGCGGCGCCTCGGCCTTGTCCGCCATCACCGCTGTGCCCGCTCGCTCGAGCCAATGCGCCGCTGGAGCAGGTCGTCGCGGCGGCGATGAGTCCCGTCCGCCCGCGCGGGCACGAACGAGCCGCCGGACCCGCCGATCGACTTCGGCGGCGGCATGGCCCGCATGCCGCGCCCCTCCGACCTGCACCAGACCAGGACCGTGGTCGACGCTGTCGTCGAGGCCTACGATGTCGAGGTCACTCCTCGGCGCGCCCTTGGTTATTTAAAAAAAGAAATTGGGAAATCTCAAGGGTAGCAGCTAAAAGAGTTGAACTTAATGTTAAAGGTGCAGTTGCGAAAAGATTCCTGGGGGCAGCTCCCGGTCTGCTGTAACGCGGCTGGGCGCCGTTCGACGCCGTCGCGCGTTTCCGAGGGGATCGCGGCGCGCCGTTTCGGTGCGGCGAGGCTTTCGGACCTCGACCGTCGTTTGCGCCATGGGCGGCGGCCAGGGGAAGGTGGCCGACGGCCACGCGCACATCGAGGCCTGCGACCACAGCCCCATCTTCGCCTGCTTCGACAAGCTCGGAGACGCCGCCGAGGCGGCGTCGTGCAAGGAGGAGGTCGCGGGCTTCTTCACGCGGAAGACGGTCAAGGAGGGCGCGTCCATCTTCG